CGCGGGCGGCGGCAGCGGAGGAGGCAGCAGCGGGGCGCCCTCCGCGCCGGGCCGCTCCTCCGGGTCGGGGCTCAGCGTGAGGCCGTCCACGGACACCTCCAGCCGCTCTGCGCTCAGCACGGCCGCCATCTCCGGCTGCTGCGCCTCCTCCGCAGGGACAGGCGGAGGCCACGTAGCGACTTCCTGCTGACCTCTGACCCCCGCGCCGGCACCGGAACTTCCGCTGCCGAGGAGGCGCGGGCTCCCGGAGGAGGTCTGAGCCCGGCCTGGCGCCCCGCCCCCCGCGCCTTGGCGCCGAGCGGTCCCCCCACTCCCACCCCGGCTCCGCGGGTCCTCGCGGCCGCGCTCCGGCACTCTAGCTCGGGCATGGGGGCTGCGCGGTGAGCAGAGAGCTTGTGTGCCGCAACCCTGAGGAAATGCGGGCCAGGTGCTAGGGTTTTGTTTTCTGGGTGGTGTTTGTTGGTTTGTTTTCAGACAGGGTCTCGTTATGCAGCTCAGGCTGGCCTTGAGCTCACTGTGTAGCCCAGGCTGGTCCCGAACTCGCAGCTGTCCTCCTGCTTCAGCCTCCCGAGTGCTGGGATTACAAGCGTGCGCCACCACGCCCGGCTTCTGGGTGTTTTTGTTTTTTTTTTTTACAGAAAACCGACCGCTGAGAAACTCATTGACTTCTCTCAAGTATTAGGCAGAAGCAGCGCCTGGTTTTACAGCAACTGAATCTCGTGCAATTTCCTAGGTCCCCATTGGGAAAAAGGTACCAAACATTAGGAGCAGAAGGCTGGGGAAGGGAAGATGTTACAATGAGAAAGGACTCGCTAACCCGCCAAGATCAAATACGGATTTTTAGTAACAGTGCGCTGCCCTCTACAGGGTGTCCAGGAGTCTTGGAACAGTTTTCTCCGGAGGGAAAACGCCCTTGGCTACGTCGTGTGCGTTCCCTGTGATTGTGGTCTTGCGGGCACCACGCATAGTTCTGCCTCTGTTTTGCTCGCTGCTTATTTTTGACACCTTTTCCGATGACAATTATGTAGTAATATTTTCCATAAAGAAGAGATGGATCTTTTCCCTTGTATGATAAAACTTCTTTAAATTGGTAACATTACTGAGACTGACCTGTAGCTTTTTTGGATTACTATCAAATTGGGACCCTGTCACCAACTAGCTGAGGATTCTTTTCCTCAATTCGGATGGAAATCATGATCCATGAAGTGCGGCTTCCTCGATATTAGGGCCCCAGACTGCCCCCGGTGGCCTCCGCGTTGCAGCTCTCAGAAGCTGCAAGTTGAGGCTTCCGGCCCGCTGGCAGTTTTCTGAAGCTCTTCCAGCAGCTTGTGTAGCCACTCCGGGGCTCACCATGGACCCCCTCAGGCCTCTGCCAGTCGCCCCTGGTCACTGATAGTCGAGGCTGCCAGTCTCCCGTTCTCTGCTGTCTCCGCTGGTCTCAGGAACTCTTGACAGCTTATTTGGCCCCTTACCAGTGCTTTAAAAAACAAAAAACCTGTTACCAGGCTTGGTGGCACACGCCTGTAGTCCCAGCACTCGGGATGCTGAGGCAGGAGGGTAGTTTCGAGTTCGAGACCAGCCTGGGCTACAAAGTGAGCTCAAGGCCAGCCTGAACTGCATAGCGAGACCCTGTCTCAAAAAAGACAAAAACAAAACAAACAAACAAACAAAAAAACCCACCTGTTGACAGTATTACTTTCCTTCCAGGGAGTTGGCACATATTCATAGCACATCTTTTTTTTCTGTTTTATTTTAAAAATAAAAAGAACAACAACAATGAAGACAAAATCAAAATAACACAAAAACAACAAAAACGATACATAACCTCAAAGCAAAATGATAGGAATTACCAATGTTTGCTACATTACACACTGTTATCTTCAACGAAGTTGCTCAGTCCAACAGACATAAGAATGTAAGATTGAGAACAAGTAATAAGGGAGTTTAACAATGGTTCTTATACTGCATATTGTTTTCAGATCAGTCATTCTGATTACCAGATACAAGTGTGCAAAATTGATCAAGAAAAAAGACATCTTAAATGTATTCACTTTCCCTCCCCCTTGCTTCTTTCTCCCCACCATCTCTTGAGCCTCTTCCTATTTGCAAAAGGTCTATCTCCCTATTTCTGTTACTTTTTTTTTTTAAGACAGGGTTTCACTGTGCAGTTCAGGCTGGCCTTGAAATCACTTTGCAGCAGCCCAGGCTGGT